ACATCCCTGCTCGGTGGCAGCTCCTTTGCCACCCAGGCAGGGCGGGGCAGGCGGGTGCAGCCGCCCGAGGAGGGGGCAGCGGGGCAGCACCGCAAGTGCCAGCCGTGGGGCAGCAGCCACCGGGGAAAGCGTCACGAGATGTGGCACTTGCTGGGTCACCGGCTCCAGTCGGGGCCTCCCAGAGTGACCGTCTCCCTCGGGGGGACAGTGACACCCAGCTCAGGGGCCCTGGGGTGCCTGGGGAAGGGGGCATGGCTTTCCATGGCTGTGGATAAAACCGTGTGTTACAGACCCAAATCAAGAGTAGGAGGGACCTGGGACCGATTCGGTGATGGGCAGGAGCTGGGGGGGTTCAGCTGCTTAAAATGAAGGCAGGACACACAGGAGCACTGCCTGCACTGCAGCTGATGCAAGCGGGGCATTGCCGTCTGGTTGAGTTTTATTAGTTGGGGAAATGATTTGCAGAGGGGTGCGGGGTGCAGGGAGGTGGACACGGGGTCCATACCCCGGGGAGGGCTTGGCCACAACCTACTGCCCACAAATTTTGGGGAAAGGCAGGAAAAATGAGAAATGTTGGGAATCAGAGATGCTAGAAAGGGTTTGACGAGTGAGGGGGGGATCCCTGCTGGGTCAGGGGCTGCAGCTGCCCGGGGAGACCCGGGACCCGCACCACCCCAGAGAGCACAGCTGCCTCCCGGTAGCCCTTGCACACCCACGGCTGGTGTGTGCACACACATGTGCACACGTGCCCACAGGCCCTGGAGCATCATTGCCTGTCCTTCCCTCTCCCTGCAGGGTTTCTCCCGTGGGTGCAGCCACTCCCCACTCTGGGGGGGCTCTGCACAGCCCTGCCGGCACAAGGCCACCGCAGCCGGTGACACCAGGACCGTTCCATGGCGCTGCCATTCCCACTGCCCCGCACCCCGTGCTGTGCTGTGGGTTTTTTCCCCCCCTTCCCCATCCCTGAGCTTGCAGGCGCTGCTGCCGCCTTCCTGGGTGCAGGACCACGGGGATGGGGCAGGAGTGCGGCCACAGAACCCGGGGGGAGATGGGGGACCCCGTGGGGCCGGGGGGGCGAAGGCGCTGCAGCCCAGCACGACTTTATTCTGTATCGCATTGTCCATACAAAACTACACCCCAAGCACTGTACAGAGCGGGACGGCGCGGGGCGGGGGCAGTAAAAATAAGCAGCGGGGGCTGGGGAGCAG